TTGTTAGCTTCAAGACGGTTAAAGAGGGACAGTTGCTGTTACTGGCTTCAGGATTGCCAGGTTATTACTGGCCAGCGATAGCGACACAAGCCATACTCGTCGCTATATCGTTAGCTCAGACGGTTGTAAGAGGATGCCAGTCACACCGGTGTCATGACATATGCATCGTTACCACATTGGTTATTAAGAGATCGTTAAGCTCATTACCCTCGGTTACGAGGCGATTCGTGACGTCGTTATCGTTAGCTTCACCGGTTACGAAGCATCGTTAGCTACACTTCGTTGGCGAGGTATCGTTGGGCCAATACTCGGTTATGAAGATCAGCTTATCGTTAGCCACACTGGGTTTATATTTTCACACCGTTTAGCGACGTTGCCACACTGGTTTACCGTTAGCCATTAATTCGGTTGGCGCGACAGCCAGCTTGCCACCGTTACAGGCGACAAGCCATTCTCGGTTGGCGAGAGCCAGGTTACGCAGGTGATCGTTAAGCCACTTCGTTACGAGAAGAGCCATTAATTGGTCATGAAAGATTGTTGCCGACACTGCCGCGAGAAAAGTGACGTTAAGCCACACTGGTTATAGTGATCGTTAGCTACTGGTTATGGCGTATCGTTAATAATTCGGTTATGAGTAATCGTTAGCTTCGTTGTTGTTGCGAGCCACACTGGTTGCGAGAAGTATCGTTGCCACACCATGAGCAGTTTACACCAGCATGGCGAAAGATTATTACTAATACCTCGGTTGAAGCGAGAAAGATCGTCAAGCCACACTGGTTACGGTATGGTCGTTAAGCCACATTTGGCGCGAAAAGATTGTTACCACTTCGTTGTTAGCTTCCAGCATGTAAAGAGGACAGCTGCTACCGTCATAGAAAGACGCCAGCTGGCCACCAAAGACGTTAAAGCCACACTGGCGAGATTGCCAGTTACACTTCGTTATAGTGACGTTAGCCATACCGGTTGGTGAGCATGACTGTTGCCACACTGGTGACAAGCCATTAATATGGCGACATACTACACTTCAAAGTACCTATGCGTACCGTTGCCACACTGCCAGCGAAAGATTGTTGCCACGCCTCGGTTGCAGAAAGATTGCGCTACACTTCGGTTACGAGTATATACCGTACCACTAATAATTGCCGTTTATATACGTTAGCTACCGCGATGAGCATCGTTGAAGCCATTACCTGCAGAGATCGTTTAGCTTAATACTCAGAGATTGTTAAGCCACACCAGACAGCAGCCATGCCGTTATGAGAGGTGGATGCCAGTTGCCACTTGTTATGAAAGCGTATCGTTTACGTTAAGCCGAGGACAGTTAGCTGGCTAATTCGTTGGCGAGAGGCTAGCTACACTTCGGTTATGAGAGGTGATTTGTTATTACTCGCAGAAAATATATTGCTGACTAGTAACGAGAGCAGCCACTTCGGTTATGAGAGATTGTTAGCTACACTGTTATGCGAGAGATTATTAAGCTTACACCCGTTATGCGATTGTTACACACTAATATGAGATTGCCAGCCGAGATTGGCCAGTTTACACTTCGGTTGGCGAGAGGCGACGTTAGCTTGCCACTTCGGTTAAGAGAGTAATTGTTTACACTTCGGGTTGTGCCGATTGCTCGTTATGATAGTGACGTTAAGCCACCTCGTTATGGCATCACAAGCTACACCAGTGCGATGTGACAGCCAAGCTGGTTACCTCGGTTATGAAGGGATGCCAGTTGCCATTCAAAGTTACGGCGAGGTAATTGCTTGCTACGTTTACGGCAGAGATATTACCTCGGGTTATGCCACAGTTAATTGGCGGAAAGCGGGGACAGCCGTTTACAGTTGCGATTGTTAGCTATTAATTTCACAGAGTAATTGTTTGCCATTATCTCTGTTGGCGAGGTGATTGTTATACCGGTGGTCGAGACAGCTACACTGGCCAGCGAGCAGATTGTTGGCCACACTTCGGTTATAGTGCACGCCAGCTAATACTTTCATATAGTGCATTGTTGCCATCTTCAGAGGCACAGCCAGCTTTGCCATCTCTGGAAGCGGTTATGCACTGGAAGCGAAGCCATTACCTCGGTGCCATAGAGGCGGGATGTTAGCCGTATTTTCCCTGCTGGCGGAGATTTACCGTTCGTTGACACTTCGTTACAGATTGTTGCCACACTCGGGTTACAGCGGTGATTGCCACACTTCGTTATGAGAGATTGTTAGCCACACCAAGAGATTACCCTCGTTTGCGAGATAGCTGGTTAATTCGGTTATAGTGCGGATTGTTGCTATTAATTGCCATGACTGTTAAAGCCACACTGTTGGCGCATGCGACAAGCCACACTGCCGGCGAGTGACAGCCACACTGCCAGCAGGAAGATGTTAAGCCACACTTCGGTTACCGTTAAGCCATTACCAGCCGCGAGAGGAATACGGCCGGTTGGCGAGGATCGTTAGCTTCGGTTACCCGTACACCTCGTTGGCGAGATTGTGAGCCATTAACGCATCGTTCGCCATTAATTGGTCAGCGAGATGATTACACTTCCGGTTGTTAGAGGACAGCCATTAATAATTCGGTTCAGCGAGAGGATTGTCATTAATACTGGTTAGAGGCGATCGTTAGTTTGTTACCCTGGTTATGAGATGGGGATAGCCCGACCGCCATTAGAGGGCCGTTCATTATCTCCGGTAATTTGATAAGATCAAAGACAGGCGGTTTAGGTGGTGCCGGTTTATTCATGATGTTGCAGCGGTGCTTGTAGAAGATGATGAGGTTTGGTACAATTCGACCGGTCGAACCTCGATACCGGGTTGACGACATTTACGAAGCGCCGTGAACGACCTCTTCCCTTCCGCTCATTAAATAATAAAGATGTACATTTACTATTGAAACCATATTAACAACGCAGTACGACTACGTTATGATGATGGTGCATATCCACCTTTCCCCAATATCAGTAACGTTCGTATCAACAGGTGTTAAGATCAACAGTCGAACTTCATGGTGATCAATCCTCGTCGTATGTCGTCGAACTCCGTCGTCAGCGACGGTACATAAAACACCAATTTCATATTCGTTTTCCGGTTGCGGGTACTTAGCGGTAGACAGTTTATTATAGAACCGACGCCGTCACGACCGTCGCGTCCTTCGTGGGTAGCCCAATGATTGCCGCCACAGAGCCCCAATAATTCCGGTAACTCCAGAAGGGCCACAAGACCCGACCGACGATCGAGCCTATTTCACGCTTAGCAATATCTGTTAATACGCAGGTAACGGTAGTCGGTTTAACATTGTTCACGTTGAATCGAACTCCGGTTCGGCTGACGAAAGTCAACGCTTAATCATCAGGCTGTTCCGACACCAGAGTTGATGATACCATCGAAGATTTCCTGAGAAGAACAGATTTCGTACACCAGCGATAATCAGCCACCCCGCGAGATTCCAGGAACAAGATATTCATGCGATGATCTTCGATGACTTCTGCGGGATAATTACGTCAAAAGAAGCGAGATCATGATACGCCCGCCTATCTTCGTGATAATATCACGTATCAAGCCGAATTAGGTTGATGACGGTCATCTTCCAGCGGTAACACACAGGGTTTAGGTAACACAATAAATGCGTTTGAATTAGTCGGTGAGACGCCAAAACCAGTGACTATAGCGTTATTCGTTTAGTTGTCGGTATATCAGCGTGTTGTTCCATAAAGATGGCGGCAGCGAGTTCAAAGAAACGAACGACGTTCATCTGCTTCAATCATTTCATATCAAACGTCTTTCACCATGTCAACAATGCACAAATCGTCACGCCATTATTCCTTTCGGTGCATATGGTGCGTATCATTTCAGATGGGTCAGTGTTAGGGATAATAACGTGCCCGCACCACCGGCAGTAAAGAAGTTGTCATCCAGCAAACCTTCTTCTTGCCTAACTGGCGCATGCACAACGTTTATAGTTCGACGAGAAACCCTCAAATAACCGAAGAAATGCGTCGTTAACGCAGCATCGTATAGTGGGTATCAATGCTCGTTATTTATCCGTCATCATTGCGGTGGTCCGACACTGAAATAACGAAGAGATTAACGAATGACAACGCATCATAACGTATCATGTTTCATAATCGAACAGAAACAATTTGAACTTTGTTTGCGCTAACAATCGTTAATAAGCGTTGGTTCTCAGCCTGTTATACGTTTCAGAAGTTAATGCGTACTCCAGTCATGATTGAATTTAGCCTTAAAGACTCAGAAATAATGTTCAAAGATACCAGTCATTTTGAAAGACGTAATTTCGATAAAAACCGAAGAACTGGCTACGTTCTTCATTTTGGCACATTGCTGAAACATAACCAGGAAAAATTGAATGTTATCAACCGAATATTTACGATTGAGCCAGTAACGAACCAATCATCACCATGAGATTTTACCACAATTCCCAACACTAACAATACCGCAATAATACGAATCACCGATTCATCCGGAGACTCTAAGTACGTAGCAGTAAGTTCCAGTGCCCAGCTTTCTCAGGATATTTCACCCTAAGTTAGGTTAGACAAAGCTCTGGCCCGTTACAATCGGCCCGAACATACACTACATCACACCGATTCAAAGATTCGACAAAACTTCGTCTCATTTCGTAGCGAAACCCCGGTAAGATCTGCGCGATGATGTAGCGATAGTCGCTCGTTTGGTGTCCAAGAATGCTAAAAACATGACTAATAACAGCAAGATGTTGAAATGTTAACTATTGCTTGTGTTGTAAAAGGCAGGCAGTGCGAATTCAACCTTAACTGAAATTAAGCAGAAGCTTAAAGGAAACAACTCTGCTTACTCTCGCCTCCGCCCTTGCGCCCTGTCATTGATGTGGACATGTTGTGTACCCTGGATAACACCCCTGCCGTGATAAAGACAGCCAAGAGGAACGCCAAGACAGCTGATCGATAAGTCCCAGGATGCCGAACTACATGGAATGAATACTGAGGTAATTATACACAATCACACAGGACTTACTCTCCTCCTCCTCCTCCGGCCCCGGCGCCCCCTATCAACGATGGGGACATGTTGTGTACCCTGGATAATACACCTGCCGTGATAAAGACTGCCAAGAGGAACGCCAAGACAGCAATCGTGCCCAGGATGCCGGAACTACATGGAATTTATAATCAGTGGAAAAAAATGTAAAAACATCCTCAAGCGAAAAGTAAGTTACTGTCCCAAAATGTTCACACCCATATATCAACAATGTAACATAAGCAGCAAGGGAATAATACAGCCATATCATATTAATGTACAAAAATAACAAAACTTTTACATGTCACCAAAAATCAGAACCATATATTAATTATTTTCAATAGAGTATTTACAGCATGTGTAGATTCCAAATTTTGTTGCTTCTTGTTGAGTTTTAAAAAAATATTATTTTTTTTCTGGGCATTGTTTACATCATATCTAATGGGGTTCACTCACAAGAACAGCGGCACAAAGATGAGAGGCGACAAGATGTAGAACTGCATATCGTTGGCCAGATACCAGGACCAGCCCATGCACTGAAACAAGGGACATAAATCCATTTCAACAAATGCTCATGTGTTCACCGAGTTTCTTTTAAATAAGAACGAATTAGCTTGTTTATATGCCAAGCAGGCAGGCTAATCACTACATCATCGCACAGATGTTACCAGGGTTTTCACTTACAAAAGTAGGGTGTCAAGGGTTTGTCAAGTACTGAGATGGTGTAGTATAGTGTATGTTCAGATAATTACCGGTGTAACAGGCCAAACTTTCCCCCTGGCCAAACCTTCCCGGACAAACTCTAGCCTAGCCCAAACTTTCCCCGGGGTAAGAATATCCCTGGGGAAAGTTTAGACTGGGGAAGAAATGACCTGCTACACCGCTACTTAGAGTCTCGAATGAATCAGTGGTCATGTGTACAGTGGTGATTAGTGTTCGGAATTGGTTAAAATCTCATAATTGATGATTGGTTCATTACAACCAATGAATCATCGAAAATAATTGGTTAGTGTCTTTTATTCAATTTTCCTGGTTATGTTTCTTAATGTACCAAAAAATAAAGAAAAAACATGTAGTTCTTACGGGTTTTTTTTTATCAAATTGCACATCTTTAAAAAATGACTAGTATCTTTGGAACATTCTTCCTGGAGTCTTTAAGATAAATTCAATCATGACTTGGAACAAGCTTGTATTGCTTCTGAAACGTAACAGGTAGAACCAACCTTGTGAAAAATATTGTTAACGCAAACAAAAGTTCCAAAATTGTTTCTGTTCGATTATGAGGAAACATGATCGATTGCTTGGTCGTTTAGTCACTGCGACCAATCTTCGATTATTTCAATTAATCGGACCACCACTAATGGTCACGACTGATTGGATGAAATAACAGACATTGATACCTACTCCTGATGCACGGTGGGTGTTTTGTGCATTTCTTCGGATGCAGTATTTGGGGGTTTCTGCGTCAATTTCTCAACATTTGTGCATACACCAGTTAAGGCTTAAGGGGAACACTTTTTTTGGATGAACAACTTCTTTACTGCAGTGGATGCGAGGTTTCGGTGTAGATCCTAACACTGTTATCTAGCAAATGATACACACCATATGCACAAGGAGAAATATGTACATGACCGGTATTTGAGTTCATGTACATTGTTGACATAGTGAGGCTTGTTGTGATATAGAAATGATTGAAGCCAGATAGACATCCGTTATTTGTCCATCCGTCATTTCTTGCACCGTTTCCGCACGCCATCTTGCTCTTGCATCGTGTTGAAACAACACATGTATTTTGTCCTCTGACAATAAACAGATAACATATAGTCACTGGTTTTGTGTCTCACCATTGCGGAACTAGACGCACATTTGTGTGTTGCCTAAAACCCTGTGTTACCCTTTCTCTAGAATGTGGCCATCATCAACCCTAATTCAGCTTATTGTGATATATATCCTGAAGATAAGACAGGCAGTATCCATGAACCTCCTCCTCCTCATAATAACACTGACATAGGTATATCCACAGAATCATCTCAGGTCCTTTCAGGATCACATAGATATCTTGTTCCCTAGAATCTCACTTGGGGTGGCACAGGTTATCATCACACCCAACCCCAGAATCTCCACCAAAGAAACACAAAATCTGTTCTTCTCCAGAATCTTCCGAGTAGGGCCACTGAGACCTCATCAGACTCTGGGGCAATGGGGTAGCCTGATGGTTAAAGCGTTGGCTCGTCACGCCGAAGGCCCGGGTTCGATTCCCAACATGGGCACAATGTGTTAAGCTCATTTCTGGTGTCCCCTGCCGTGATATTGCTGGAATATTGCTAAAAGCGGCGTAAAACTAAACTCAGTCAGTCAGTCAGGTCCTTGTGCCCTTCCTAGGTAGATTCTGGGGAATTATTAGGGCTCTGTGACGCTTTAACCATTAGGCTACCCCACCGCCCCCACAGGGACCTGACCGGATCATGACAAGCATGGTTCTATAATAAACTATCCTACCACTAAATTACCCTGTGGAAGTAGTGTAAATTGGTGTGTTTATACTTACCATCTCCTTGACATTGACCAGGTTGTTGACATACAGTAAGTTGGTCCACCATGAGTTCCGGCACTGGTTGATCTCAACACCCTGTTGAGGCCACAGAGGGCCGTTACTGATGTAGGGGAAGAGTGGGACGTACACCATCATCACCAACATGTATGGAGGCGTCAGTCTAAAATACATACACGTTGTTAATATGGTTTCAATAAAAATTAAATGCTACACATCTTGTGTATGAACGGAGAGGAGAGGTCATTCACATTGTACATGCCCTTCCATAAATATCATCATCAACCCCCGAACCATGCACTATGAACGGTTCAGTAGTCAGAATTGCAGGGCAACACCTCCCAAAACTACCTCTCACATCCATCTTCCTACAAACACCACTTACAACCATCTGTATCGCAAATCATTATCTCTCACCACCACCTCTCACAACCACCTGTAAGCAAACAATCACCTATCATTACCAAGTGTAAGCAAACAATCACCTCTAATAGCCAAGTGTAAGCGAACAATCCCATCTCATAACCAAGTGTAAGCTAACAATCACCTCTCATAACCAAGTGTAAGCTAACAATCCCCTCTCATAACCAAGTGTAAGCTAACAATCACCTCTAATAGCCAAGTGTAAGCGAACAATCCCATCTCATAACCAAGTGTGAGTGAACAATTACCTCTCATAACCAAGTGTAAGCTCACAATCACCTCTCTCATAACCAAGTGTAAGCAAACAATCCCCTCTCACAACCAAGTGTAAGCTAACAATCCCCTCTCATAACCAACTGTAAGCTAACAATCCCCTCTCATAACCAAGTGTAAGCTAACAATCACCTCTCATAACCAAGTGTAAGCTAACAATCACCTCTCATAACCAAGTGTAAGCTAACAATCACCTCTCATAACCAAGTGTAAGCTAACAATCACCTCTCATAACCAAGTGTAAGCTAACAATCACCTCTCATAACCAAGTGTAAGCAAACAATCACCTCTCATAACCAAGTGTAAGCTAACAATCACCTCTCATAACCAAGTGTAAGCTAACAATCACCTCTCATAACCAAGTGTAAGCTAACAATCACCTCTCATAACCAAGTGTAAGCTAACAATCACCACTCATAACCAAGTGTAAGCAAACAATCACCTCTCATAACCAAGTGTAAGCAAACAATTAAATCTCATAACCAAGTGTAAGCTAACATCCACCTCTCATAACCAAGTGTAAGCTAACAATTACCTCTCATAACCAAGTGTAAGCTAACAATCACCTCTCATAACCAAGTGTAAGCTAACAATCACCTCTCATAACCAAGTGTAAGCTAACAATTACCTCTCATAACCAAGTGTAAGCTAACAATCACCTCTCATAACCAAGTGTAAGCTAACAATCACCTCTCATTACCAAGTGTAAGCAAACAATCACCTCTCATAACCAAGTGTAAGCAAACAATTACCTCTCACAACCAAGTGTAAGCTAACAATCACCTCTCATAACCAACTGTAAGCAAACAATCCCCACTCATAACCAAGTGTAAGCTAACAATCCCCTCTCATAACCAAGTGTAAGCTAACCATCACCTCTCATAACCAACTGTAAGCAAACAATTACCGCTCATAACCAAGTGTAAGCTAACATCCACCTCTCATAACCAACTGTAAGCAAACAATCCCCTCTCATAACCAAGTGTAAGCTAACAATCACCTATCATAACCAAGTGTAAGCTAACAATCACCTCTCACAACCAAGTGTAAGCTAACAATCACCTCTCATAACCAAGTGTAAGCTAACAATCACCTCTCATAACCAAGTGTAAGCAAACAATTACCTCTCATAACTAAGTGTAAGCTAACATCCACCTCTCATAACCAAGTGTAAGCTAACAATCACATCGCATAACCAAGTGTAAGCTAACAATTACCTCTCATAACCAAGTGTAAGCTAACAATCACCTATCATAACCAAGTGTAAGCAAACAATCAACTCTCATAACCAAGTGTAAGCAAACAATTACCTCTCATAACCAAGTGTAAGCTAACAATCACCTCTCATAACCAAGTGTAAACTAACAATCACCTCTCATAACCAAGTGTCAGCTAACAATCACCTCTCATAACCAAGTGTAAGCTAACAATCACCTCTCATAACCAAGTGTAAGCTAATAATCACCTCTCATAACAAGTGTAAGCTAACAATCACCTCTCATAACCAAGTGTAAGCTAACAATTACCTCTCATTACTAAGTGTAAGCTAATAATCACCTCTCATAACCAAGTGTAAGCAAACAATCACCTCTCATAACCAAGTGTAAGCTAACAATCACCTCTCATAACCAAGTGTAAGCTAACAATCACCTCTCACAACCAACTGTAAGCAAACAATTACCGCTCATAACCAAGTGTAAGCTAACATCCACCTCTCATAACCAACTGTAAGCAAACAATCCCCTCTCATAACCAAGTGTAAGCTAACAATCACCTCTCATAACCAAGTGTAAGCTAACAATCACCTCTCACAACCAAGTGTAAGCTAACAATCACCTATCATAACCAAGTGTAAGCTAACAATCACCTCTCATAACCAAGTGTAAGCAAACAATTACCTCTCATAACCAAGTGTAAGCTAACAATCACCTCTCATAACCAAGTGTGAGCTAACAATCACCTCTCATAACCAAGTGTAAGCTAACAATTACCTCTCATTACTAAGTGTAAGCTAATAATCACCTCTCATAACCAAGTGTAAGCAAACAATCACCTATCATAACCAAGTGTAAGCTAACAATCACCTCTCATAACCAAGTGTAAGCTAACAATCACCTCTCATAACCAAGTGTAAGCTAACAATCACCTCTCATAACCAAGTGTAAGCTAACAATCACCTCTCATAACCAAGTGTAAGCTAACAATCACCTTTCATAACCAAGTGTAAGCTAACAATCCCCTCTTACAACCATCTGGAAGCTAACAATCACCTCTCATAACCAAGTGTAAGCTAACAATCACCTCGCATAACCAAATGTAAGCTAACAATTACCTCTCATAACCAAGTGTGAGCTAACAATCACCTCTCATAACCAAGTGTAAGCTAATAATCACCTCTCATAACCAAGTGTAAGCTAACAATCACCTCTCATAACCAAGTGTAAGCTAACAATCACCTCTCATAACCAAGTGTAAGCTAACAATCACCTCTCATAACCAACTGTAAGCTAACAATTACCTCTCATAACCAAGTGTAAGCTAACAATCACCTCTCATAACCAAGTGTAAGCTAACAATCACCTCTCATAACCAAGTGTAAGCTAACAATCACCTCTCATAACCAAGTGTAAGCTAATAATCACCTCTCATAACCAAGTGTAAGCAAACAATCACCTCTCATAACCAAGTGTAAGCTAACAATCACCTCGCATAACCAAATGTAAGCTAACAATTACCTCTCATAACCAAGTGTAAGCTAACAATCACCTCTCATAACCAAGTGTAAGCTAACAATCACCTCTCATAACCAAGTGTAAGCTAACAATTACCTCTCATAACCAAGTGTAAGCTAACAATCACCTCTCATAACCAAGTGTAAACTAACAATCACCTCTCATAACCAAGTGTAAGCTAACAATCACCTCGCATAACCAAATGTAAGCTAATAATCACCTCTCATAACCAAGTGTAAGCTAACAATTACCTCTCATAACCAAGTGTAAGCTAACAATCACCTCTCATAACCAAGTGTAAGCTAACAATCCCATCTTACAACCATCTGGAAGCTAACAATCACCTCTCATAACCAAGTGTAAACTAACAATCACCTCTCATAACCAAGTGTAAGCTAACAATCACCTCGCATAACCAAATGTAAGCTAACAATCACCTCTCATAACCAAGTGTAAGCTAACAATCCCCTCTTACAACCATCTGGAAGCTAACAATCACCTCTCATAACCAAGTATAAGCTAATAATCACCTATCATAACCAAGTATAACCTAACAATCCCTTCTCACAACCAAGTGTAAGCTAACAATCCCCTCTTACAACCATCTGGAAGCTAACAATCCCTTCTCATAACCAAGTGTAATCTAACAATCAGCTCTCATAACCAAGTGTAAGCTAACAATCCTATCTTACAACCATCTGGAAGCTAACAATCACCTCTCATAACCAAGTATAAGCTAACAATCACCTCTCATAACCAAGTGTAAGCAAACAATTACCTCTCACAACCAAGTTTAAGCTAACAATCACCTCTCATAACCAACTGTAAGCAAACAATCCCCACTCATAACCAAGTGTAAGCTAACAATCACCTCTCATAACCAAGTGTAAGCTAACAATCACCTCTCATAACCAACTGTAAGCAAACAATTACCTCTCATAACCAAGTGTAAGCTAACATCCACCTGTCATAACCAACTGTAAGCAAACAATCCCCTCTCATAACCAAGTGTAATCTAACAATCACCTCTCATAACCAAGTGTAAGCTAACAATCACCTCTCATAACCAAGTGTAAGCAAACAATTACCTCTCATAACCAAGTGTAAGCTAACATCCACCTCTCATAACCAAGTGTAAGCTAACAATCACATCTCATAACCAAGTGTAAGCTAACAATTACCTCTCATAACCAAGTGTGAGCTAACAATCACCTATCATAACCAAGTGTAAGCTAACAATCACCTCTCATAACCAAGTGTAAGCAAACAATTACCTCTCATAACCAAGTGTAAGCTAACAATCACCTCTCATAACCAAGTGTAAACTAACAATCACCTCTCATAACCAACTGTAAGCTAACAATCACCTCTCATAACCAAGTGTAAGCTAACAATCCCCTCTCATAACCAAGTGTAAGCTAATAATCACCTCTCATAACCAAGTGTAAGCTAACAATCACCTCTCATAACCAAGTGTGAGCTAACAATTACCTCTTATTACTAAGTGTAAGCTAATAATCACCTCTCATAACCAAGTGTAAGCAAACAATCACCTATCATAACCAAGTGTAAGCTAATAATCACCTCTCATAACCAAGTGTAAGCTAACAATTACCTCTCATTACTAAGTGTAAGCTAATAATAACAACTCATAACCAAGTGTAAGCTAACAATTACCTATCATAACCAAGTGTAAGCTAACAACTACCTCTCATAACCAAGTGTAAGCTAACAA